GCTGAGAGGTGGAAACTTCCCAAAGTTACCCGCGAACTTCACGGTGCCCATCTGCTCGTGTGTCCCCGCGTCCCCCCTGCTCGGCACCGTGGCTGTCGCAGGGATGGGGCGCTGTCGCAGGGATGGGGTGGGCTCTGCTGCCGCAGCGCTGGGAGACAGGAGCTGCGATGCCCCGCTCCGCCCTCGCGCTTTGTGACAGCTCTGCCGTGCGGAGGCTGAGGGACGGGACGGGGAGGTTCAGCATCTGTCTGCTGCGCCTGGGGCGACTCGGGGCTGTGTCCCTGCCCCGAGCTTTACGCCTGCAGGGCCCGAGCTGGGGCGGAAGGCAGAAAGGAGCGGGGAAGCGGGGTTGGCTCCAGGCCTGCGTCACCGAGCTCAGCCTCGCGGCCCGGCCAAGCTTCGTGCAGCAGGGATGCGGCCCCGCTTCCTGCTCTGTCCCGTGCCAGGATCGGAGCCGAGCAAAACAACAGCTGTCTTCCGGGAGCCGTGGGAGCCGGGCAGCAAGGAGCGCACATCCGGAGGGCTGCGGGGCCCTGTCCGACAGAGCTGCTGCGGTGATGGGCAATGGGGCAAAGCCCTCGGCCCATAGAGTCCCTGTATGCCGCTTTCCGAGTGCTGCTCGCCGGGTGCTCGCGCTGGGGTTCTGCCGGGATCCCGAGAGCGGGGGTGCTGAGGGGCAGAGGTACCGAACCCGGCCCCGGCGCCCCCAGCGCCCGCAGTGCCCTCAGTCCCCGCAGCGCCCCGTCCCGTCCCGCCTGTTGCCCTCTGGCGGCGGCTCCGCCGCTCCTCGCCGCATCGGGACCCCCCGAGCTCCGGACGAGCGCTCGGCTCCGCTCGTGGAGCTCCTCCCGTCACCCGCCGGATTGTCCCCTCGGGGGTTGTCGTGGCCCCGCGGGTGGCAGCAGGAGGGGCCCGGCGGTGCCATCCCACCCTGCGGGGACTGCCCGGCCGCAGGGAGGGGTGGGGGGGAGGAAGAATGAGCTCCGGCTGCGTTCTGTGGTTCCCGACGGGTGAAGCAGGAAGTGTGGGAGCGGGGCGGGGAGGACTGGTGCTGCCAGGAGACCGCAGAGGGCATTTCTAAGGGACTGAGCCATCGCCTCGGCCTTGTCCTCGTCCCCACCGCTCTGCAGCCACGCCAGGCGCTGCGTCACCCTCCGGTGCGGTGCCCAGGGAGCTCCCCCGTCCTTCTGTCCCTCCAGCCCAGATCCCGCACCCACCCCCTCTAGCCGCCTCTCCCCAGCGCTGCCTCCTTGCTCCCTCACAGCCTCAAGTTTTGCCGCAGCAGCTGGGGGCACAAAAACAGCCCGGAGCGAGCCCAGCCGCCCGCACCCCGCTCAGCTCCGCGGGGTGGAGGAGGGCTCTGGGTGAGCTGAGCACAGAGGAGGTGAGGAGGAGATGCGTGACAGCGGCGGGGCAGGGCGAGCGCAGAGCTGCACGTGCACCCGGAACCGGGCCGAACCCGGGCCGCGCTGCCCTCGTCCCGCCGCTGCAATGCCCGGCCCCGCCGTGCCGTGCTCGGCCCCTGCAGCCCCGACTCCTCCGGCAGCGATCTGCTGGGACGGCACAGCCTGGGGGCAACGGGAGCGGTGCCGGTGCCGCAGCTGCAACCCGCGCCGTCACAGCAGTTCTGTTTTTATGACCGGGCTCGTGATGGTGCTGGTTTTATGGCCGGGCTCGTGATGCGTTTATGGCCGCGCTGGTACTGCCTCAGGTACTCCCGGCCCCGTACCCCGCATCCCACTGGCATTGGGGTGGAGGATGGCAGCTGAACTTTGCCCGGCGAGGTGCGGCTCCCGAGGGCTCCCGCGAGAGCTGCGGCACCTCGGCCGCGTCCGTCCGCTACCGGGCACCTGGATGTAGAGCGGGATCCCGCCCGGCCCCTGCGGAGCGTCCTCACCGCCCGCATGTCACCAGGGATGTGCTGTGGTGCCGAGACCCCGCGTCACATAGCGGCCGTCGGCCCGGCGGCGTGGAGCAGCGCGTAGCAGGTACCTGCCCCGACATCCACCCCGCACCGCTCAGGGCAGCGGGACCCACGGCGGGCCCGTCCTGGAGCTCCGTCCCCGCGCTCCCCGAGCACCGGCGCTGCTGCCCAAGGCCCCCAACCCCCGGAGCGGCAGTGCGATGCTGCCCCAGGGAGGGGTTGGTGGTGGGGGCAGTGAGGACGCTCAGGGTCCCCGCACGGCTGGGGGACGGGATGCGGCCCTGGTCCCCGGCTTCGCCCTGACGGCTCCTTCTCCCCAGGCTCGGCCAGAGGAGGGACCTTGCGGCTCCCAGCGCTGCTCCGGGAATCCGGGGGGGG